GGGGGGGGGGGGGGGGGGAGGGGTTAGACCGGGACAGTACAAACTGCTGTTTCTCCGCTCAGTTTTTATTTGCCCGCCAACTTGTGAAGTCGAAACTATAGAAGTTACGATATCCTTTCTTCTAGGACTACCAGCTTCAGATTGGATTTGGTTACAGTATAAACTAGAATTGCTCGCGCCTTTCTACATTTCTCACTAATTCAATCATGACTGAGTGAATTTAAAAGTGAACAGAATTCAGTCTCATTTCATGCAGATCGATTTCTTTCTTTACATTTTTCATTTAAATGCATCAAGAATGGATTCTTGCGGCCTGATAATTTAAAACAAAAGTTTAATTCATTTAACGAATTTCTCGTTTTTCTTCACATAATTTTGTAACTAACCCTACCGTATCTTGAGTTTAAGATTTTATATTGACTCTTTTACAACTCTCGTAAAATTTTCCAGACACAGGGTTGTCTTTTAGGACAGTTATATATCCATGCTTAGAAAACATTTATTTTGAGGGGCAGGGCAGGGATACCTAAAATTAAAGCAAATAAAATATTTGGTAGTTCACACATAGAAACAGACAATAAAGATAATAAAGTTAAGTGATGAATTACTAATTTCCAGTTCGTGTGAATAAATATTTGCAAACTCGCAATAAATCAGCAAATATAATAATTGCACAGGAAGAGTGTTTTCTTTTCGAGGGTCGGGGGGGGACATATGCTCCTAATCAACAGGTTAAAACTTAAAAGGAATGATCTTCTTAGTGTATTGTATGTACAGGAAGATATTAAGATATTATCCATTATTCAACTGCATTGTCTTATATTTACTGCAGGTTCAAGTGAAAACAACATATTCAAGGAAACTCAAGAATGTTGAAAATAAAAATAATGATTATTTCAAGTTAAAATATAAATGTCTATAAGACAAAACAAATTAGTTTGACCCCCCACCGTTTTCCACCATGATTTAAAACCTCACAGTGAGGGAAAAAAATCGTTAGTTCTTTAGTCGATTTTGTACTGTCATGGCAGCGGGTTTTTGTCACAGGGTGGACCAACATTAAAAATTGAAATTAAAAAAAGGAAACTTTCTTTTCTATTACTTTTTAATTTAGTATTTTTGATAAATAATAATGGATTATTATATTTTTGTAGTGAAATCTTAGAAGGGGGGGGGGGGTCTTAACCAACAAATCTTTTTATAGTGTTACTCGTTTCTCCTTGCCACCCTATAGATACCATATTAAATAAGATTGGTTATCTAAATTAAATTTAAAAGTAATTCCTGCCCCCTCCTCCCTCTGCCCACAAATATCTCATTAAGTAGATGAATTTTGCCTGAAATTATAATTACCAAACCTCACAGGAAATATTTTGATGGATGGTTAGATTGATAGATAGATAAACCGTTTAGATAACATTTGTTTGAATGATAGTTTAAGATTTTTGAGATATTAAGATTGAATACGATTAATTGTTTGATTGATGAATGGACGAAATGATTTTAATATTTGATATTTTCAGAATAATAAAAATGATTCGGTTGTTAATATTTTTTAAAATATTTGGGCTTAGTCTTGCACTGACCGTCACTAAACACTCACCAGCAGATGTAAGTAACTATATTCCTAATCCCCCTTCAAACTTTTTTTGGATTAAATTAAGTTTTTCACGATATTTTCTGACAAAAAATAGTGCTTTTTCACCGAAAAATATTAAATATCACATAATGATTTCCCGAAACCTGAATCAAAATATTGTGATTTTTTTATTTTTGAAGGTTTAATATTTTATTGATTTAACATCAAATATGAAAATATGTTGAGTGCTGGTTTAATAAAATTTGGTTTCAGGTCATAACAGTTAAGCAGGGTGAAACCTTTACACTCCTATGCACAGTGGACACCTTCTACGAGGTAATTATGAAATTTATCCCCCCCCCCTCCCTCCAATCATAATGCACACCTTCTACGAGGTAATTATGAAATTTATCCCCCCCCCCTCCCTCCAATCATAATGCACACCTTCTACGAGGTAATTATGAAATTTATCCCCCCCCCCTCCCTCC